TGGTGCTCCTTTTAACAATCAAAATCTAAGGGGATGTGTGTTTGCTCACAATTTACAGCATTCTCTGCCTTTGGACCCACCAACTTGACATCTTCTTCTGTTCCACACACGACAATACTGATATTCTTGTACTTTCCTAAACATGACTTTATACCAGGCACTGCTTACGAGTTTTCAGCGGAGAGCTTCTGCTCTTTCCTGCACGGCAGGCTGAGCGACGAGCAGTCCTCCAGCGCTTGTGGCTCTGTGCAGCTAGCCCAAACCTGCAATTCTGCAGTCAGCTGGCCCGGCTCCAGCAGAGCTGTGGTGTTCCATTTGCGTAATTAATACAGCTCCTAAAAGATGACTGCGTATCTAAAAGGTAGACCGTTAATGGCTCCAGGGAGCTCTCATGGCTCATCCTTATGAGCAACTCTTTAGGTTCCAAAATAAATGCATGGTGAAGCCTTTCTTGTCACTGCAGGGTGACCTTCTCATAAAAGGCTCTTCTCTTCTACAGCTGTGATCTCAGTTTCTGTCAAATGTTCATATTTTAGTCTAACCCTATAAAACTAGGAAGTTAAATGCTTTTTGGCACAGACACTCTTAGTGCAGTGTCATCTTTCAGCAGCATCTGCTTCTGCAAATAGCAGTGATCGATTTTTGTCTTCAGCTGCCTGTTATCAAAATCTTAAAGATACAGTGGTGTCATTCTTGTGTTGAATTAATAGCAGATCATCTTTGGAAAGATTACACTGCTGTTAAGTGCCGAGATTGATGAAAAGAAATCCAGTTGTGGTGGGATGATAACTGATTTGGTGTAATGTCTTTCTGTCTCCAGAAGCCTTGCTGTTGGTCTTGCTGCATATGCACCCATACTGAGATCACAGCAGCAACTGAAATTTCAGACATCTTAGATCTGTATTCCAGCTATCTTTGTTTTATGTGATCTTTTTTCCATTTTTTTGTTTGTCAGTTAGCAATTTCTATTTTAATCAGTTTTAAAAAACCAACCAAACACCAAAACCCAAAGCAACATTAAATAAAGATGCAGTGTTCCATGCTGATGTGTAGGAATGTACTAAAATTGGTGAGTAAAGGTACTAAAACTGGTGAGTGAATGTTGCATGCGTTTGAAAGGCCGGAGGTGCCTGCGAGTTTAGACGTGTCTGACAGCGGGTGTGAAGAGCGCGAGTCGCAGGAGAGCTCGGCCTGGCAGGGCCTGCTGGAGGTCATCAGTCCGGTTCCCTCGTCGTGGCTGGGACCAAGTGCAATGTCAGATCCTGTTGCTCAGGGCCTTGCACAGCCGCTCCAGCCCTGCTCCGTTGCACAACCGTCCCTGTTGTGAAAACTTTCTTCCTTATGTTTTGCCCTTGCTGCAGGTCAGACCGTTCCTCTCATCCTGTCGCTGGGGAGAGCGGGGCTCTGACGACCTGTTGGGGTGGGACACTGCAGCTAGAGCCTCTCCTGCCCTCCCCAGGCTGAACAAACCCCCTTCCCTCCCACCCTCTCTGCATGGCAGAGACCCCTTTGGTGTCCTGGCAGCCTTCTGCTGCAGCCCCCCAGTTTTTCGGTCACTTGCACTGGTGGGGCTGAAAATCCAGTTGTACTCTTCAGGATGTTAAGCTGCCACCACCACTTCACGTGCTTCCTTCTTTGTCTGTTTCAACTCTGCACAAACCCAGAAGTTGTATTAAATAAAGCTTGGTTTGGATATGTCTTTCAATAATTCAGTGATGCTACAATGGGTTGTTGTTCAGTACATGTAATTAGTCATTTACAAATATTGCAGTTCTTGGTAAGATACAAGATGTGGGGAAATTAGCTTAATTATTTTAAGTGACAGTCTGAATTAAGCTCTGGTATGAGTGAACAATCCTTTTTTTAAAAAAAAAACAAAAAACCCCCCCCACAACTTAATAAGGCAGTGTCACTGAAGTGCAACTCTTGCTTTCAAAGTCCCCTGTGCTGCAAACAATTTTTTTCAAAATGTAGAGTACAAGCTGCCTTTTTTTTTTTTTTTTTTTTTTTTTTTTCCCCTAGGAAGCCTGAATTACTGAGACCTAGGCTGGCTGTCAGTAAGCTGTGTATAGCCTAGCTAGTTAAGAATTCCTCTATTTCTACAAAATTTGTTGGTGTTAAATGTTGCCATGATTGGCCGTAACAACTTACCACCTGCTTCAGCCAGGCCCGGCTGCAGCAGAATACAAGGGGTGTATTTACTTCATTCTATATAAATGTTTTATCACTTAGCAGTAATTGGATTGCTATTGTATTTCAGTAATTATTCCCAACAGCAAATCTGTTCTCCACTTCACAGACGTGTTCTCTGAGTGACCTTCACGCAGCCTGTTTGAAGGTGTCTTTCTTGATCTCATTCTGTACAATGAGTTTTCTGTTTGGGTTTGGTGGTGGGTTTTTTGCGTGTTTTTTTGTTGTTGTTTTTTTCTTTTTTTAAAAAAAGGGGAACTACTGCCAGGGGTAGAATAATTTGTCTTTGCTCCAGTTGTCATGGTGCAAAAATATAAGCACTTCAGTTCATGCTCGAGCTTTTAGCTGACCCTCGAGAGGCAGTACGATGCACTGCCTTTTCAAAATGCATCATGACATTTCAGGCTGTGTAGAACCACATTTCTCTCAGTATCACAACCCAAATATCCTGCCAAGATTTCTCATACTTTGCAGAAATTTGTTCTGTATTTACTGTGTCAATAGACAAATAACTTCCTAAAGTATCTCATAGCTGACCAAGGAATTCATATACTTGTCTGAGGATCAGACAGAGTCTGCCAGGGAAGTTCTGGATCACTGGATGGTAATTTTTTGTGCAAGAATAACATTCAGTGATTAAATCTTAATGGGTTTCCAGAGCGCCTGATATTTTTTCAAGAGGAAAGCACTGCTGAATGTCTTTAGTGAGGACTGTCTTGTGATAGCCTGCCTTCTGTACAAGCCTTTGTAGGAGAGTCTCTGCTTTATGCAGACCCCACAAACCCATCAAAGGATGTCTCCGTCCCCTCTGTACTTGGCTGAAGCTTTAAACTTTTGCTTGATGGCCTGCCTGACATAGTGTATTTATTTCAAATGTATGGCAGTTGACAGTGAACTTATTTCCACTGTCCAGAATTAGGCTATTCTGATGCCATTTTCCGTTAAGTCTAGTCCTAATCCTGCTTTCTGAAAATGATGGTTTCTGTGTTTTAGGCATATGTTTCTGCCTAAAACATATGTTTCAAGTATGAGTAATTCCAGTGTCTGGAGAACCACATTTTATCAGAACAAAACCATTTTACTAGGTATTGTTACAGTGCTTACTTCTGCCATGTTCAGGGGTTCTTGTGAAGCATGTTACCGTAAAGAGCAGCACAGTGGCGTTAAGCTGTGAGCAGCCTTCAGCTGCGTTTGCAGCTGCCATGGTCTTGTGGTGCAGCCCTGTTAAAGCATGTTTGCTGCGCAAGCCTGCCTCTTCATTTAGATTGAGACTCTTTACAAGATATTAGCTGTGCTGTAACTCGCAGGCCAGGCCAGTTTTAAGTGTGAGTAGTCTGGGCAGCAGCATCTCATGCTGTACCAGTTGCACTGGTAAAGAAATCTTCCTTTGGAGATACTGAAATTTTGGTCTTGCTGTGAAGTTAAAATTTTGTGTTTTCTTCCTGTATTGGCTTTTATGCTGTCCATGCTAGGAATCGGTGTTTTCATCCTCTCGCTTTCCATCACTGCTTTCTTTTTTTCTGCGCTGTCGTTGCCCTGCAGCTGAAGCAGCCTCCGTTTGTGGAGCTCACCTTCTCCCTCTCCAAACAGCACTGGGGATCTCCTTTAGTCTGGGAAGTTGTGACCCTGTGTTTCTTCCTTCAGTGATGGAAACCTGTTTGCTGAGTGGATTGCTAGATTTATTTGTGTGTAATGGCACTTAAATCACATGAGCAGGGATTCGGATGGTGTGGTGGCTGAAGGGAGAAGGGATGCATTAGTGCTCGTATCCCTAATCCCACCAACTACCCAACTTACCTGTGAGAAAGTAGTTTCACTAGCTGTTGCTCTTAATGGATCAGCAGCGTGCTTCCTTTTCTTGTGACAACTTCTTGTTCTGAAGAAGAATTTAGATGAATTGCAATAGTGTCAATCTAGTTGTGCTAAAGCTTTGTGCTCTTGGCTGTATCCATCAGTGAACTCTTTGTTATTGGGAACGGTGCTTGGGAGGCTTATGAGACCTGTTCTTAAGTATTTATATTTAGGGGGTTATTTTGACTCCTCTGTCTCCCTTTGTACCCTTGCCCATTTCTTGTTACCCCAAGTTTATTAAATGCAGTGTAGAATTGAATGGTTAATCTATATATATGGCTTATTTGAGTAATCCACTAAGAAAGTGCGTTCAGAGCAATTAACTTCTAAAAAGAAAACTAGGGCAGAAAACTTAGTAGCTGACTATTTATAAAAAGAAAAAAAAAAAAAGAAGCAGCTTTGCAAACTAAGTAATCCTTTCTATGCAAGAAATGCAGAACTTGACTACTTCTACCCAAGGCAAGTTATGTGGTATTTGTATGATAGGTGCGGTCTTTGGAAGCCTCGCTTTTGTGCTGTTTCGGTCACAAACGATGAGCTGCTGCTTGTAAAGCAATGCTGTTTAGTTTTGGAACTTTGCATGTTTTGCAGTGCATGCAACCTGGCTGGGATGAAAAAGCCCAGACCTCTCTGGTTGGTAGCAGTTTAGTTCTAATATCCAGTGCGTCAAGCTCTGTTACCTGGTAGCATGCTTTGATGGGTGGATTGCAGGTCAAGGCCTCCAGCATTGTAATTACTGGTGTGGTGGGCTTTAAGCTTCCCTTCCAGTTTTCTCACTGTACAGTCATTTTTATGATTGAAAAGCTGCTGAAAAAACAGTACTTTAGCAAGTACTTTAGCAGTACTAGATGATTTAGTGTGTGCTAAAAAAATAAAATCATTTTTGGGCATGGTGTAAAGCTGTATAACCGAAATATATTTCTCAAAACAACTGGGTTTTTTATTTTTAATATTTCCAGGGAGGGATGAAACAATGCAGCCAGCCAAGCCATCATTCCTGGAATATTTTGAGCAGAAGGAGAAGGAGAATCAAATCAATAGCTTTGGGAAGAATGTGTCTGGCCAGACAAAAAATTCATCTGATTGGAAAGTACCACAGGACGGAGACTACGAATTTGTAAGTCTATACTTTGAAATTCAATCGATGTGACAATCTTTAAGAGTTTTAGTCAGAGCTGCTATAAGATTATTTCTTGTTTTGACAGACTAATGGAAACTTGAGGAGATTCTAATTGCTAATGCGTTTGGATGAGGCATTTTGAAAAACTCATTTTCTTTAGGTATTTCTTGGTAATCATAACCAGTCATTATCTGTATACTTTCCTGGTTTAAAAGCAAACAAATGAACAAAAAAGCCTGAGGACATGAAGGTACAAGCTATCTTGCTTTACTTCTCCATTATGCGTTTAAAAGATTAAAAAAAAAAAATTCCAGATGGCAGTTGGAAAATGCAAATCCTGAATGTGTAGTGTTTGATAAAGAAGTGTTAGAACCATTGAATTTCCTTGTTTTTCTCAAGCTTTGGCACTGAGTTTTGTTTTATTATATAAACATCGAGCTTGTCTTCCTTTCTCTTTCAAATCCTCAATTTCAGTCTTCCTAACTAAGGTTCATGTACTCAGAGTTTTCAGGAACCTTTTCCACAGAAAGATCGATTAGTCATAAATTTGATTTAATTTTTTTTGTGATGATGGAAAATTTCTGGTTGGAGTTCAAAATGCCAGAAGGTGCATGCTCTGCTGAACACGCCTCCCTCTGCTGCATTTTCTTTCAATGATACTTCACTGCAAGCGCTTTCTGCTGTGAGTGCATTGTGCACCCTTCTGATGTCAGTCCGTGTTGCCCGTGGTTCAGGTTGTCACGCTGCATCCAGTAGCTGGTGAGATTCACTCCACAAAGCCGTGTGGAAAGCGAAATCCCTCTGCTAGTCACGACTCGAGGAGATGCTTTACTTCTAAGGCTGGAATAATATCTGGAGCCTTTCATTCTCCTTGTACGGATTGTAGACTACTGCTGTTAACGTGTGTTTTGTTGTCTTTGCTGCTGCATCTCAAATTTTCTTGTTTAGACTGAAAAGGATGGTTAGCTGAAGGGACCTGCTGCATTCTCGCTCTTGTAGCCCTTTGCACTATGTTATGTTTAGCCTGGAGGCTTAAAGTCACTGCATAAACATGTTTTGCAAAAATAACCTGCGAACTGCCCAGGGTCTGGGCCAAACACATGATTCCAGTAGAGCCAGACGCTTCGTTTGTCTCGTTCACCTTACATGCTGTAACTTAGTGTAATGCTAAACGATTATTTTTCAGTGTGTGGTATTTCCCAGGAAAGATGGTCTGGTTTGGAGTATCTTAGAAGTCTTTTGTAGTCTGCAAAAGATGGCCCAGGGGGAAACTTGCTGTAATTATTTTACTTTCTAATTTGATTGATAACAAGTTTAGCAATTACCCTTATTTCCACTGAGTAGGATGTATTCCACCCTGCGTAGCGTGAGCTGTAGGTGCAGGCTACACCCAGTGAGCAGCACAGGCAGCACGCACGGCCCAAGGAAAGGTCGGTGCGGTTCTAGCGAACGGGACCTACAAGTATTTTTAGAATGTGCAGAGCAACTGTTTGACACGCAGGTGACCTTGTTTACTGATTTCCATTCGTACTGAAGTATTGCCGCGTGCGTAGATTACCAGTGCGCTGAAAGCAATAAAAGCAAGCAATAAAAGCTAGCAATAAATGGGGCTTTGGGTCACCTTCATGTAGTAATTTGTAGAAATTTCGCTTCCCAGCTGTATGTGTTTCTCTAGTTCAACCGTGTATGAATATACCAGCCTGTCTTGCATGCAAATTTTGTAACAGAGCTACTTTCTTTTCTGTGGCATAAGAAAAATGCTTTAAAGCAACCTTAATGCATATACATATAGCCCTTATCTGAGGTTTTGTAGCAGTAACTTCATGTTGTATAATGTATTCAAACACTTAAAACTGGGTATTTTTCCCATTCAGCTAAAATGGATCAATTTGATGGCTAGCTGTGGGTAAAAGTCATGTTTATTAATGCTTTATTAATTGAAAGCATCAAAGCAATAAGCATTGTGGAATAAGAAAAAAAGTAACATTCATTAGGTGTTATCAAGTACATCTGTCCTAGACTTGCCTGCAGCTCTAACTTATTTCTGCGTTGTCAGAGTAGGCAGGTTTAAGCAGACTTTGTCTATAGAGTTTGCAAGATTCCAAGTGGAGATGAGATCAGTGAGATGCTGGGTGAACTCATTCCTCCTGGGCTTCGAGAAGTGATTGAAATATTATTGCTTTGAGCTACTGCAGGCTAGATAAATATGCCTTCTCTTCTGTGTTTGTCTCTGTCCTATGTGGCTAGCACCTGGAGTCTCCTGTCTTCCAAAAAAAAAAGGGCAATATTAAATTACAAAAGATTTTTGCTCTTTTCCCCTGTGGCAAAACCATTTGACCTTTTCTTGACTAACATTGTTCCTCTGAAGCAGGCAAATAAGACACTATTTATATCACAATGGCAATGTCATGTTAGATAAGGGTTAGATTGAGTCAGCCCCATCCACTGCAGAGCTGAAAACTGAGAGATCCTGTTCTAAAAGGTGATGAACTCCATTGCTGCCAAACGCGATGCTCTGTCTATGTCCTGGTGGTGGTTGGAGGTGGCATAAACCCAGCGTATTTCCAGCCTTGGATTTCTGAGGTAGACATTATTATTAACTGATTAGTTGATGCCCGATGGTGTTCATATTTATCCCCACTGATGTTTGAACAAGGATCTCTAAAGATTTAAGCCCTGCTTGATTATGAAAAATGTTTTCAAGAACATTATGATTTATTTAATGGGGGGGGGGAGAGATATATTAATTATGGGCAAAAATTCTTGCTTTTAGGAAGAATATAAGAAACTCTGAAACGAAAATGCTGCAGGGGTAGGCTGTTAATGGGCAGGCTGCATTGTATGTAGAATTCCTAATTGCCATAATCAGATCTCAAAATTTTAGTAGTTGAATTTAATTTTGCCACTGAACATTAGTCACATACTGTTGCACAGGCTTAAATTAATAATGCTAGAAGATTTGTTTAGATGATGTCATACATTTTTTCACTTTAATCTTTCAGTAGTACTGTAACATACAGCAGAATTAATTGTGCAATGTTTCCTGCCCTTAGATGCAACAAACCCTTTGTTTATTCCTATTTTAAAAGCCTTTTAATGGCTCTGAGCAGGTCAGTATTCTAATGCCACTTGCAGCTAAAGTGGGATCACTTTTTTTTATTCTGGCCCTGCTTGAAAGGCCTTTGGTCTTGCCAAAACCTATTGGAGCACTTATCTGTGGATCATCCAGTCATGAATGTTGTGTATTATATCGCTCATCATTTTATTGAAAGCCTAGTCTGTTAGCAGTGGTTCCAGCCATTCGTGGCTTGTGGTAGCTGTGACAATACTGAAACCTTTTCAGTTGTATTTCATGAGTGTGGTTTCACTGGCAAAAATGAGCAGCAGCAGTGCCCCCGTCAATCTTGAATTTTGCCATCATGATGCAACGGCTGTTTTTTTTAATACTTGTAGTGTTGAGCTTAGGTTTTGCTGTAACTCTAATTCATAATTTTTCGTGTATCAGTGAATCTGTGCTAATGAAGCATCCTAGGGGCTTGGTTTGGATGTGGATTCAAACAGGACCTGAACGCGTAACAAGACACTAGAGCAAGACTACAGCAGGACATCAGATCTTTCCACAGCCTTTACACAAGGAGTTTGCTCCAAGGCTTTTTTGGTTCCAGCACCTGTGTATCTGCCAGCCATTCCTGGCCTGTGTAAGGCAGCCTGTCAAGAGCCTAATTGGTACAGAGACTTGTACATTGTCTTTAGCTGCTCTTGCTGTCTGTGCTTCGCTGGAAGAGCACCAGGAGATAGCTGAGCTTTTAAAGGAAAGCATTGCCATTCACCTGCAGGACCTCAGTGGAGAACTGCAACCACCAGCAGTCATTTTCTGCACTGGCAATCTCCATCCTGCTGCTGCAGCTCTGGAAAGGAAGCTGATGGTGAGAAACAAGGTTTATGTTTCTTTCCTAAGCAGCATGCTGCTTCCTTTGGGAACACCTTGATTTGCTTGCATCTGCTAAGTCTTGGTGAATCACACCTTTACTACTCCTACAATTATCAACAGCCAGTAGTTTGGGTCTTTCCTTCTCACTCAGCTTAGTGAAGAGGTTCTGCCTTCACAGGTTTTCTCATTGAAGCAGAAAAACTTTGGAGCACAACTTTTTTCCTTACAAGAATAAAATTAACTTCTATCCTTGAGAGTGTCAAGGTGCAGAAGGGGTAGACATGGCAAATTAATCAGCTTTCTGTGGAAGGACTGTGGAAGATGGCTGTTGTCATGCCCTTTGTTCGCAGGTTCAGCCACGCTTCAGTCTGCCATGAGCGAACCTGTGCGTCAGGTCTTGGGTTTCCGTGCTGTGAGTGCTATTCTCTGCCCTAGCTCACCTTTTTAGCTCCCTTCAAGATGTGTCTCCGTGGCTGCTGGTGGGAATTTCTTTGGACAGGAAAGATCAGTGTGATTTCCCCCAGTTCCAAAACAGGCTTTATCACTTTTCAGTGCCCAGTGTCATCCATTTCTCTGCTGCTGGGGAGGACTGTCCTGCAAGCAGTAGAACTGCTGCTTCTGAAATTTTTGCAGGGCAGAAGAAGGAAGGATGAGCAGGAGCTGTTAATTGCCTCTAATTGAGGAGAACAATGCAGGTGCTGATCAGCTGCCACTTTTATCAGGGCTGCACAGTCAGAGCTCTCATGTACAAGCAGCAAGTTCTTGTCTTCACCTCACCATCTGCTAGACAGAGATGGGCAGAGAAGCGACTTAGGCTGAGTTACAGGAGTTGGAGGAAAAGCTGGGTTCGATCCCACAGCTACAGATCTCTTTCCAGTGACCAGCTGTCTAGCCTGTTGCTTTCAAAGTGCTTAGGCCACAGCTTGCTGTTGATATCTGACTTCTCCGTGGATTGTGTTCCTTAGAATTCACTAGTTTTGAAAACAGGCCTCTTTCTTTGGCTCAAAAGTGTCTGTAGACTGCTTACTGTGGTCTTCAGTTTTGTTTAGAAGCTCTTGCTCCAGCG